TTATTGATCGCAGTACTATGGTCAAAATATTGCTACCTAAAAGAGTCACGCTGTAAGTTACATATACAGTGTCGATGATCTATGGAAGTAATTTAACTGGTTCTATGAAAGGAATCCTTGTGACGTCATTACTCATATTTTGTGTGTTTGCGGTGTGGCCGGAGTGCTATACAAATTCAGACAAGGATATGCAAAATCCGTTGCGTGTCGTGCGGTCTCGGCGTGCGTGCTGATAAAATTGACGTTTACCTAAAGTCTCCCTATTCCATTTCATTACCATTGGGGAGGCCTACCAGTGGGGACATTCATAGATTCATGTAAGTAAACGCAAGGTTATTACACAGATACATCAACTAGTATTTAAACTAGGCTCTTTGAAACACATCATCATTAACAGCCGTACGACTCCCACTGTTGAGCATAGCCCCCCCCCACCCAATGATCTCCACGACGATCGGTCCTGCGCTGCCCGCATCCAGCGGCTATCCGCAACCTTTATAACACATGGAGTGCTTTATTTTATAAATGCGCTTGTAGTTCTCTTGATCATTACTTAAATCATCATCAGTCCTTTTACATCCCACTGTAAGGGCTCCCTTATGATTAAGGTAGATGGGTCGTGATCCTCCACGCTGGCCCAATGCGAATTGGGGGGTTTTAAAAACTGCAAATGCAGCCGAGGATTATGGTTTAACGTGCCTTCTGAAGCATGAAGTAGCTCGAGATAGTAATATTTTGGTCATCCATCTTGTGACCGACTCTTGCCAAAGTTGCTTAACAACCACAATCCCCGGCCGCGCGCGGCGCTTATCCACTACGCCATCGAGCTATTTATCACGTAAATAATTATTACGTAATAAGTAGTCCACTTAATATTATTATTATCTATTTGGGATTAAGAGACTGAAGCCTCTCTGCAATAAAGCAGTAAAATAAAGGTTCATAGTATATTTCTCAAGGACATATATTTATTATGACACTTCAGTAATTGTTAATTACACAGTTTATTGTCAAAGTCAACGTAATAAGTTTAGTAAGTACAAGATTTATAGATAACAGCTGCGTACAAAAATGTTTTATTAGATCAAAATTAAAAGTTTATCTGTTGAAAAGATATGGTTCGAAGAACTACATTTTTTTTTGTTCGCAGCTGTAAACAAAACAATTATGAAATTTTAACTAATTGAAACTTGTAGTACAATATTAAGATTAAATTCTACTTATTTCTAAATTAACTGTAACTTAAGCTAGTCAGTATATATATATATTTTTGATGTTAAGTATCTAGAATCGTCATAATTTTTGTATAATTAAATTTTTTAAATTCAGTAATTTTATTTATTCGTTTTTATTTAATTGCAAGTTTAATTTATCAGCTATAAATACAACATCATTAGGTACTTATTAATTATTAATCATTTGTAAACGTTAGAATTGATCTACATTAACAATAATATAATTACACAATACAAAAAATATCACATTGTACATGAAATTTTCTTTACCGAAAACTAAAAAATACACAGTGCAGTTTAAAAAAAGCGTTGTTTATTTAACAAGTTTAAGTGAATAATTTTTATAAAAAATAATGTACTAGTAATCGCGATGCCATATAATGTCATATAAACAAACTGTTAATAAATTGATACTTATCAATTGCTATAAATTAATATTTACATTGCTAAAATCTTATCTGTGCATACTTGAGTAGCAAATGTAACCTGTTTAGAATGTGTTAACGTATCTGAGTGCTGTTAACAGGAGTGCGTATAGTTGTGGTGGTAAATGTTTCGTCAGGAAGTACTGATGTGCGTGTGAGGCCGCTGGACGGTCGCGCGCTGAGGGTAGATTGCGCGCGCGCTGCCACGCCGCACCTGACACCATTGGCTCCTCCGCACCGAACCCATTCATGCTTAGCTGTAATCCTGTGTTCAAGAAATATAAGCAAATTAGTATCTGTTTTTGGAGACAGATGGCAATAAAAATTTTACAGTACCTCGAAAAAATTTAATAATATTCGTATTATACCTACAGCCAAAATTTCGCTTTTGATTCTATGAACAGGCACCATCGAAAATTTTTGAAATAATGCAATATAATTAATTAAATTTATATTTTACAAACCCAACTTTATACGTCGATCAATTTTTATTACTCTTTGAACTTTAATGTTAGCTTAACTCGACAGATGCGCATGTTAATTTATCTAAAATAAAGTAGGTAATAAAATGAAAGAACTATAACAATCTATAACTCAAGACGGGAATCGAACCAAAGACCTTTACAATCAGTGAAGACGATCGACACACTTACTATGTAAACTGACTTGGCTCTCCATCTTCCCTAACGCATTTACCGAAGCGCAAACGTATGTACCATAGTCGTTCAGTGACAGCGACTTTATAGTGAGGTTCATCCACCGAGAATAATCATTCAGTATCGTCTCCTCTATGCGCAGCTTCGGGTTCTCCATTATTTTATCGCTTACTAGAGCTGTAAATAAAATATGGTTAGTTGAGATGAATCGTTCAACAAATTTCCGTTTGAATTGATATTGAATCTTTGCCAAAGTTTACTTCGGTCGTTCATGCTCTCTTTATTGCTTCTCGTTTTGAAAAGAGGTTGGTGATTTATTAACCTGCATTATTTAAGGAGAAGAATGACTAAGTAGTACAAAACTACAATGCGTGGCGGATTATCCATTGAATATAGAAAGCACTAGGATAACGCGATTTCAGGAACTGGTGGTTTCGAAAGTAAAATTTAACCGTTTAAAATATTTTAATCACTTAATGTTCATTTGAGTACTCAAGCTTGAGTAGACAATAAGTTACCTTGTATTAACTAGGTACTAGGTTCTAAATATAAATAAAATTATTTTGAGTCACATAAAATGAGCAAGCGTTTTCCCGCGTCTTTGCCTACGTAAATTATAGCTTGTGTCATCCGCGTAATTATAATTAAGTTTCTGTGGGAGTAATTTTTTTATATCAAACAAATAAATGATGATGTCTTTCCTCTTTATAATGTAATTGGTTTATCCTGTTATATTTAGAAAAATAAAAAAGTTTGATATAAGTTTTTATTTTCTAATTTTTCCTCTAAAATTGTTTTCATGTTTAAAAATAATGTAAATCTTCGTTTCTCATTTGCCTTAGTGTTGTAGTGTCGGAGAAAAACAGCTGAGACAAATCAACGACCGAGTGATTCTAAAAGACTTCGTTTTTTCTTTTAATATGGAACCGTAATAGTTAAGCACTTTACTTATTACACACACAAAATAAATAGTATACAGACTATTTTATGGTTAAATAATTATAAAATACTAACATTTTCCATCTTCACGATACCAGGAATTCATAGCTTTAGGAGATGCTTCGATGTAACACTGCAGTTCGACGTCACTGCCCAACGGTGCCCCCACTAGCTGGTTAGTAACCTTCACTTGTGGAATAACTGGTGACAAAAGAATAAAAAACAAATAAGAAATGTTTTTAACTTGTGCTAACAGATTTTCATTAGAAGTTTCTTTTATTCTCTTTTATTCATTACCATTGGGGAGGCCTACCAGTGGGGACATTCATAGATTCATGTAAGTAAACGCAAGGTTATTACACAGATACATCAACTAGTATTTAAACTAGGCTCTTTGAAACACATCATCATTAACAGCCGTACGACTCCCACTGTTGAGCATAGCCCCCCCCCACCCAATGATCTCCACGACGATCGGTCCTGCGCTGCCCGCATCCAGCGGCTATCCGCAACCTTTATAACACATGGAGTGCTTTATTTTATAAATGCGCTTGTAGTTCTCTTGATCATTACTTAAATCATCATCAGTCCTTTTACATCCCACTGTAAGGGCTCCCTTATGATTAAGGTAGATGGGTCGTGATCCTCCACGCTGGCCCAATGCGAATTGGGGGGTTTTAAAAACTGCAAATGCAGCCGAGGATTATGGTTTAACGTGCCTTCTGAAGCATGAAGTAGCTCGAGATAGTAATATTTTGGTCATCCATCTTGTGACCGACTCTTGCCAAAGTTGCTTAACAACCACAATCCCCGGCCGCGCGCGGCGCTTATCCACTACGCCATCGAGCTATTTATCACGTAAATAATTATTACGTAATAAGTAGTCCACTTAATATTATTATTATCTATTTGGGATTAAGAGACTGAAGCCTCTCTGCAATAAAGCAGTAAAATAAAGGTTCATAGTATATTTCTCAAGGACATATATTTATTATGACACTTCAGTAATTGTTAATTACACAGTTTATTGTCAAAGTCAACGTAATAAGTTTAGTAAGTACAAGATTTATAGATAACAGCTGCGTACAAAAATGTTTTATTAGATCAAAATTAAAAGTTTATCTGTTGAAAAGATATGGTTCGAAGAACTACATTTTTTTTTGTTCGCAGCTGTAAACAAAACAATTATGAAATTTTAACTAATTGAAACTTGTAGTACAATATTAAGATTAAATTCTACTTATTTCTAAATTAACTGTAACTTAAGCTAGTCAGTATATATATATATTTTTGATGTTAAGTATCTAGAATCGTCATAATTTTTGTATAATTAAATTTTTTAAATTCAGTAATTTTATTTATTCGTTTTTATTTAATTGCAAGTTTAATTTATCAGCTATAAATACAACATCATTAGGTACTTATTAATTATTAATCATTTGTAAACGTTAGAATTGATCTACATTAACAATAATATAATTACACAATACAAAAAATATCACATTGTACATGAAATTTTCTTTACCGAAAACTAAAAAATACACAGTGCAGTTTAAAAAAAGCGTTGTTTATTTAACAAGTTTAAGTGAATAATTTTTATAAAAAATAATGTACTAGTAATCGCGATGCCATATAATGTCATATAAACAAACTGTTAATAAATTGATACTTATCAATTGCTATAAATTAATATTTACATTGCTAAAATCTTATCTGTGCATACTTGAGTAGCAAATGTAACCTGTTTAGAATGTGTTAACGTATCTGAGTGCTGTTAACAGGAGTGCGTATAGTTGTGGTGGTAAATGTTTCGTCAGGAAGTACTGATGTGCGTGTGAGGCCGCTGGACGGTCGCGCGCTGAGGGTAGATTGCGCGCGCGCTGCCACGCCGCACCTGACACCATTGGCTCCTCCGCACCGAACCCATTCATGCTTAGCTGTAATCCTGTGTTCAAGAAATATAAGCAAATTAGTATCTGTTTTTGGAGACAGATGGCAATAAAAATTTTACAGTACCTCGAAAAAATTTAATAATATTCGTATTATACCTACAGCCAAAATTTCGCTTTTGATTCTATGAACAGGCACCATCGAAAATTTTTGAAATAATGCAATATAATTAATTAAATTTATATTTTACAAACCCAACTTTATACGTCGATCAATTTTTATTACTCTTTGAACTTTAATGTTAGCTTAACTCGACAGATGCGCATGTTAATTTATCTAAAATAAAGTAGGTAATAAAATGAAAGAACTATAACAATCTATAACTCAAGACGGGAATCGAACCAAAGACCTTTACAATCAGTGAAGACGATCGACACACTTACTATGTAAACTGACTTGGCTCTCCATCTTCCCTAACGCATTTACCGAAGCGCAAACGTATGTACCATAGTCGTTCAGTGACAGCGACTTTATAGTGAGGTTCATCCACCGAGAATAATCATTCAGTATCGTCTCCTCTATGCGCAGCTTCGGGTTCTCCATTATTTTATCGCTTACTAGAGCTGTAAATAAAATATGGTTAGTTGAGATGAATCGTTCAACAAATTTCCGTTTGAATTGATATTGAATCTTTGCCAAAGTTTACTTCGGTCGTTCATGCTCTCTTTATTGCTTCTCGTTTTGAAAAGAGGTTGGTGATTTATTAACCTGCATTATTTAAGGAGAAGAATGACTAAGTAGTACAAAACTACAATGCGTGGCGGATTATCCATTGAATATAGAAAGCACTAGGATAACGCGATTTCAGGAACTGGTGGTTTCGAAAGTAAAATTTAACCGTTTAAAATATTTTAATCACTTAATGTTCATTTGAGTACTCAAGCTTGAGTAGACAATAAGTTACCTTGTATTAACTAGGTACTAGGTTCTAAATATAAATAAAATTATTTTGAGTCACATAAAATGAGCAAGCGTTTTCCCGCGTCTTTGCCTACGTAAATTATAGCTTGTGTCATCCGCGTAATTATAATTAAGTTTCTGTGGGAGTAATTTTTTTATATCAAACAAATAAATGATGATGTCTTTCCTCTTTATAATGTAATTGGTTTATCCTGTTATATTTAGAAAAATAAAAAAGTTTGATATAAGTTTTTATTTTCTAATTTTTCCTCTAAAATTGTTTTCATGTTTAAAAATAATGTAAATCTTCGTTTCTCATTTGCCTTAGTGTTGTAGTGTCGGAGAAAAACAGCTGAGACAAATCAACGACCGAGTGATTCTAAAAGACTTCGTTTTTTCTTTTAATATGGAACCGTAATAGTTAAGCACTTTACTTATTACACACACAAAATAAATAGTATACAGACTATTTTATGGTTAAATAATTATAAAATACTAACATTTTCCATCTTCACGATACCAGGAATTCATAGCTTTAGGAGATGCTTCGATGTAACACTGCAGTTCGACGTCACTGCCCAACGGTGCCCCCACTAGCTGGTTAGTAACCTTCACTTGTGGAATAACTGGTGACAAAAGAATAAAAAACAAATAAGAAATGTTTTTAACTTGTGCTAACAGATTTTCATTAGAAGTTTCTTTTACCTTGAGATTAAAAAGTTTTTTGTAATGTGCGGTCTGCGATACCACGGTTGTTAAGCAACTTTTCCAATGGCCTATCATAGGATGGATGATCAAAAATTTATTATCTTGAGCTCCTCCGTGCATCGAAAGACCATTGAGAAGGTCTGGCGAGTTAACATCTTAAAGCAACGTTTAATCCGTGCAGCGAGTGTGATAGCGCTACACGGAATAATAGCGGTGTCCCGCTCGCGGCACGGATTAAACATTGCTATAAGAGCTCATGGATAGGCCTGAGCTCCAGCAATGGGATAAATAGGCTCGTGATTATTATATATGAATATAATTCTAACATCAAGAAGAATATTATATGTTACATTATAACATCTGATGAAACTTTGAAACTTACAGTGCACTTCGACGTGGTATCGACGGCTAACAGTTGGTGGTATTCCATTACTGGCGATGCAGTAATAAGCGCCCATATCAGTTCGTTGCACATGAAGCAACTCCAGAGTTTCGCCTCTATAACTGCTCACAACTAGGAAAAAAAATGGAAGTCACTTTGTAGTTTAGGGCTTTATATTACAATAATTCGAATAGTTTGCGACTAATTAATTAAACATTTCATGCATTTGGTATTCTCTGTCGTTATGTATTTCAATGAGATAGACAGGGCCCTGCTTTATGCCTCGTCGTAATATAATAATTAAATAAAAACAATATTGCATGAAAATTTTAGATAAAAGATCAGTGTTGTTAAATTAAATATTATAATTTAGCAACACTGATCTTACATCTAAATTTTTTTTGGTTAAAAAATAAAAGAAAAATGAAACGAAATAAAAAACTTAATTGTTTTCACTTCCTTCCTTAATTGCCTCATTTTCTTTATTTTCTGACTCATTAACCTTTTAAAATCACACATAGTTTTGTTAAATTTCTTCAGGTGCCTTTCTGTAGCTTGAAATGTGTAGCAATTGGTTATTTAGGATTATATCGACGTTGAACGCTACTTGAAAATAAAATATGAAATAATTTTTAACGTGTGAATGTAAAATTATTTTTACATTTTTTTCCTAATGGAATGAAACTGAAAACAGGGGTATCGATGTGAAAACAGCAAATCTACTGTTAAAACATTAGGGTTAGTAACACTGAACGAAAGTCGTGCTTGACTAAAACGTCGGTATGTGAGAGCAGCCCAAAAATAAAAAAAAGCTACTGAAGAAACTTGTGAATCCTCATACTCTCGTATCTATAGTCGAGAGAAGTAATTAAATGAGAAAATGGCATAACTTGAGTATTTTTTTTTTATATTTGATCAGTTTTGCAGTCACAATGCTGTACTGATAAATATTCTTAATGAAAAATGCTTAAAAAATCCATTCGAACCCATGACCTTTCGTAATCTCACAGCAGTCACCCGAAATCTCAAAGTGCCATGGATTAAGTGGATTTTTTAATCAATAGACTAGAATTTGAATGAAACAAGAATTGTTAATAATAATAATATTCTTACTATTAACAGCTCTTACTTTATTCAAATTCTTGTTTATTTGTCAAAGTATTTGCTTATGTAATTACTTTTACTCAACTACAGTTTTCAGTTTCATAATGTTACCGCGTGTTTCAACCCTAATAATTCATATATAGTAGAAGAAAATATTATTGCACTAATGATGTACTTCATTCAATTAAAACGTGACTTTATTAGAGATACAAGGTTCAATTAAGATATCGATATATCGCTGAAATTTTAGGTCCTATGAAAATTAAAAATATTTTTTTTTGTGTTAACCTGCTTATAATTAGAGGCTACTGAATTTAGGAACAGTAGATTGGACAGTTTGGAAGGAAGTAGTCTTAGAAGCCCGTTTCTACTTCGTGTAATGGTCGTCCCTGTATGCCTCGCATAACGAACTTAAGAGAAGTTTTGTCTACACAGAAATATCACTTTTCTCGGATGCGCCCCTAAGATATCATATTCTCGTGAGTAACGTTTGGTGTTGACAAAGCATTTCTCGAGTCACCGAGATATTTTAAATCTTTGGATTTTAGTCGATATGAGGATTCGATATGTTACTACTTTCGATATCGATATCTCTGTTTCTTCGATATTGATATTTTTGGGCTGTAATGATATATCGGTTTTCAGATATATCGTTGTGTCTCTAGACTTAATGCACTTCGGGAAAAGTTTGTACTAATTACGTACTCATATTATTGTTTCCACATTAACGAGCAAATAAAAACATGTTAAAAAATCGGGTATAATTTCCAATGCTCGACGTTCTGAATGAAACAAGCCATTTGGAAATGCTCTGCAACATTGAAAATGCAGTTGAATTTTCTGTTTATTAATTTTAAATAAGCTTCATGAATATGAAAGAGCGTAGCGTAGGTGAATTTAACATGTCAATAAATGCAAAACGTAACGTAATAAGAGGAAATTACTTTAAATATATGTCACAGGAAACTATAGCTCCAGCTTCCCGCAGTGTAAATAATCTGAGTATTATTTGTGTATGATGTTTTTCTAACTTTCTATAGGAATCAGTAGTCGTTCGAGCGTCGCAAAAATATTCAGAATAGCAAAAATAGATGAACGTTTTCGAAGCGTCGAGAGCGCCTCTCGTTTTACGGAAATATAGTCCATTCTGAAATCGCTTTTGAGTATAAAATCTTATATTATGCGAACACGGTTCATTTAACGCGGCATTAAGTGAATTTGTTGAACAACGTATTTTAAAAATGAATGAATAAAAGCGTCGCGTTTCTCACAACGGGAAACGGGCTTGAAACTATTATTGTGTTTTAAATTCATTCTGTGAAATTAATGATTTTGTAATGGTTTACATGAAAATTTATTCTACTTTTTAGAAATTTATCTATAGTGGATATTATGATTCTTCCATTTGTGTACCAATAATTGCTTATTATTTTCCCAAAAGTAAATTATATATTTCGTAGGGCTCGATGGTGTAGTGGTAAGTGGTAACCAAAAACTTATTATCTCGAGCTCCTCTGTGCTTCAGAAGGCAACTTTAGCCGTTGGTATCGGATTCATATGCAGTCGTAAATACCTACCAACTCCGCATGGTGGGTTATTGTTCATTCTCCCTATTCGATTCAATCCATAGGGAAAGCCTGAGCCCTAGCAGTGGGTACTTTAGTAATAGCTGCTGATGTGAAATATTATAATAAATATTTTGTAGCCGATAATCTTTGCTCCTTTACCAACCATAAGGAAGGCCAAAACCAGTGGAGACATAAAAGAGCTAATGATGAAGATGACGATGATGAATCTCTGCTGAATGATGTATACACAACTGATACCCATTTTAATTAGATACTACGAACATATACTACGAACAATTTGACGCTTAGTGACGGATCACAATTACAATCTTTTAGGAAGCAGTACTTACAGTTTCATATGGAACTGTTTCTACCTAAGTAAATCGGGAAATAACAAATAAAAATAGGGTAGTAGTAACAACATGAAAACTCTATTTACAATTGGTTAAAATTGATATTTCGCGAAACATATAACTGCTTAACAAAAATAATATTTATTTTCATCTACTCATACATAAATTGATGATTTAATTTTGTGATGTGGTATCACAATTAGGTAAGACAGGTCTCAACTAGGTAAATCCCCCATTTAAAATGGCATAGTCACCACTTGTCGGGTTTACAATCAAACTACTGCGGTTTAACTCTATTTCTAAAACCCTATTTAACTCCCTTAGAGGTCGAAGTTTTCACAATCCTGTCTTATTTCTTATTATATCATAATAACTATTAGCCGCTGATCCGTCAGTAATTTGAGCTGTGTGTTAATATAGTCAGCCAGTGGAGAGTGTGTCAAAGAGCAGACACACGTATAATTATTCCTAGATTAAATCTAGCCATATGCAGTTAGTTACCTTATTAATTTCTCCACTGCTGGGCCATAATCCTGTACAATGGATGGTATCAAGTAGAAGAACGGCTTATAATCCACCAGGCTGTCAGTGCTGACTATTGGATGCTAACATTTCAGAAGTAGCCGGGCCAATGGCATAACTTAAAATTGCAAACTGGCCCTTACGAAAGTTGCTAAATCTACACTGACTGAAAGTTATAATTACTATGCCATCGAGCTCCAGTAAATATTATTCAAAAACAAATGACCGTCAGTTAAAGCACAAATTAACAAACATTCGGTGCAGTCGGAAAGCATAGTTGGTGTAATTAAGATATTTGAAAAGCGAGAATTAATGTTAACTAGTTGGTACATTATGCCTCGTGCTCTGTTGATTCAAATTAGTTACAAACAGACCGCATGTCATATTTGAATGCATCTAATGGACTGGATATATTAATGTGAAATTTTGGAAGCACTAATAATTTTATCATAACATTAAGTAAATCAAGACTGTTTTTGAGCACAAATATGAAATGCTTAAAAGGGTACTTTCAATAATTTGAAACATAATAACATTAATATTTATTTGTTTTCCAAAGGCTGCTGTAAATGAAGCTAGATAAGCTGCATAAGAATTTGCTTATAACTAACTAAACATATAATAATATTTAACTTTCGAGAAATAACTTTCATAAACACAAGAATCACCGTGAAATCGTCAAAAACAATCGCAGATATACATCTCTCTCTGTCTATGCATTAATTATTTTTATCAAGTAATCAACGGACGCCTCAGTCGACGTGCATAATTCATAACAAACGTTTAATTTATTCGGAACACTTTACAACTTTGTTCTCTTCTAAACATCTCCTCCATTACGTCTTTGTTCAAATTCATCTGTAGCGGACGTTTTAATCCGAAAAGGCCACGTTTACCGACTATAAATTCGTACGTGATCGAAATGAAACATAAGTTTCATATTAATTTAAACATTTTTTTTTCGATTCCAATGGCACGACAATGAGAAGGAAACAAAACAGCGAAATTCGCTTGTAATCAGTTAGTAACAACACAATCTATGCTTCTAATAGGAAGCTATAAAATAGTTAAGTTTTTACCATGCGAAAATAATAAAGCAAGTAATTCTTTGACTTACGGTAATACGTTGGAATTATAGATCAGACTAAGCCCACAGCTACGCAGTGAACTAATTTTCACAATTGGCTTTTAGTTGGTAACCCTTAAACTGTTTCTATTTGACAAACTGGGGGCAATCTTACAATTTGCCCTCTTGCCTCCATAATAAGACTTTTACTTTTTCGTTGAAGTTCAAACAAAAAAGTAATTAAGACTGGTCCTTACAGCGACATTAAATAAATTGAAACGAGTGAACAATGAAATCCTATTTATAGGTAGTTAAGTTGTCTAGTCTGGCCGTCGGAATTGCTTAATCGTTTAGAAATGGAGAAAAGGACACAGACGATTGTCTAATTCTGCCTTGGTGTATGTCCAATTCTGGTAATTATTTATGATAACGAATCTCTCATCATCATCATCAGCACTTTTAC